TGCCCTTCTCTCTGCTGCCAGAGATGGAGACCTGCTTTCCAGTCACGGGGTTTTCCTAACAGGAGCCAACCACAGCCACTTGCTGACAGATAAGACACTTGCCATATTTAAGGCACACTTCCTTATAAGAAAATAAGCGTGTGGTTTCTTCTTTACTTTTTTCTTAACATTGTGCCAGGATTGGGAAGACTTTAGTGATGATCCAAGGACATACAATTCGTATCTTTCAGAAGAAGAAGAGGAGGAGGAGGAAGAAAAAGAGGAAGAGGAAGAAGGCCCTACACAGATGCTAACAGTCACTGTGATGATGAAGTGCCTGTATGGGGCAGGTTATACATATATGTGTGCATGCATATGTATGTTTTATTTTACAATATTGAATAGCATATGTGTCAAGTATAATGATAAAAAGACAACTTTTCTGTGTAGTCTCTCTCTCTCTCTCTCCCTCCCTCTCTCCAAGGAGTGGTCTTGGAGTTGCTATGTAACAGATGGTGACCTTGAATTTTTGATCCTTCTTGCCTTTGTGGAATTCCTGTGAACTGGGATTATAAGCATTTGCTACCACATCCACCTAAAAAGTTCCCAAGACACAGACAGGCCAGGGAATAGGCACTTGCAGTACAGAATGATAGGAACCATAGTAATGATAAGCTTCTTATGGGAACGCACAGAAAGCATACTAATTCAGTTGAAGACGGGTCAAGGAGGGATGCCGGGCACGGTGCAGCTGAAGAAGTGAAATTGGGGATTCTGAGAGCTGGAAAAGTGTTCAGAAAGGATCTATCTGCGAGTGAAATCCAGCAGGAAGGCTGGAGCAGTAGACAGAAGCCACACCCTCGAGGGGCTGGAACACTGGAGCGCTGTCAAAGGGTCTTAAGCAGGGGGTCACATAAGCAGATTTGTCTCGATGCTGTATGGGAAATATCTGGAAGGAGAAAGATGAATGAGGGGAGATCAGGTGGAAGGCTGCTAGGGTAAACCAGTCAAGAATATAATTGCCTGATCCAAGATAGTGCTGGAGGGTTCACAGAATGGGACGGACTCAAGAGATATTTGGGAGGTAAAATCAATAAGACTTGATGTTTAATTAGATATAAGGGTTGGAGTAGAAGAAAGAGCGAAGGGCAAAACATTCATTATATTTAGATAACCACAGGGTCGATGGTGCCCCCCACTGAGATCACAGTCACAGACAGAGAAGGAGGGCTGGGGTGTGCAGAGACGATAATTTCACTTTGGGGTATAACATGTTTGGGGGCACTTTGGATTCCATGAGATGAAATAAATGTACACATGTGTGCACACAGATACCGAGACATTCTGCTGTTTATGTTTTAATGATGAATTCTTGGATGCTGTCATTCCAGAAGAAGGGCAGAATTACAGACTGCCTGGTTCTCACATGACTGCCAGTGCTGACTAGGCATGAGACAACTGTCAGAAACAACAGCAACCAAATATGCTGGCTAACCAGTCATTTGTGTGGTCGGGGTCAAACAAATGTCAGTCCAATTCTGTCTCTGAAGAGTTTCAACCAAACAAGCTACCCGGGACTTCCAGCCACAAATAGACAACGGCATGAGACTGTCTCTCAGGCTTGGGCTGTGGCAGCCGTCGGGTGGTTGTGTAAACTGCTGAGAAGACAGGAAGCTGCCATCCCCTATTGTCTTCCGAAAAGACCTGAGAAGAGAGGAAGAAGGAGCAAACAAAAACTGATGAAGAACTTAGAAACCAAATCGCTGTCCTCCAGTCTCTGAAAGAAAAGGGCAGATAGACAGAGAGACAGGGAATGAGGAGACACCTGGTTTTGTTCTGACTTTTAGTTCCTGATTTCTTGAACATGACAAAGCGCGCGCGCGCGCGCACACACACACACACACACACACACACACACTTTCTCACATATCTTACATATTGAATAGTGTGATGTGATGGGTGTTCTTGGTTGTCAACTCAACTACATCTGGAATTAACTAAAACCTAAGATGCTGGATATACC